AGAGAGAGATAGAAACATCAATGATGAGAGAGAATCATTGATCGACTGCCTCCTGCACATCCCCTACTGGGGGTTGAGCCTGCAACCCAGGCATATGCCCTTGACTGGATTTAAACCTGGAACCCTTCAGTCCCCAGGCTAACGCTCTAGCCACTGAGCCACACCAGGCAGAGCCAGAGCCTGTTCTTACTGATGGACCTGGATTGCCATGTCCCTGCACAGCTGGGGCCCCAGTCCTTCCTTTTGTCATATTGCAAATCAGCGAGCTGGACAAGACGCCTTCATCAGCCAATTAGTTATTGGCTTTATTGCGCGCAGGTTCAGAGCAGATTACTGCTGTCAGATTCTGAACCAACACACAGCAGGGAGAATTTCCTTTTCATATCCTTCTAGTTCTTTGTGTAAGTTGTTTTTGTAGACAGCGTGTAACCTTGAGTACATACCATATCTAGCAAATGCCTGTCATATCTATACAGACGCTGGTAACCTTGGATACACACACTTGGCATGAGAATATGGGGATTATTATCGGTATCAACGTATCAGTCCCTTTAGATCAGTGGTTCTCAACCTTGGCTGCACATTAGAATCACCTGGGAATCTTGTTAAAATCCTGGTATCTGGGCCTCATCAATGGCTAGCTTGCAAGGTCAGACAATTAAGTTTATCGCTTCTATCATTCAAGCTAAAAAAACAAAGTTATTTTACAGTCTAAAAATAATAGAGAGAAGTAGCAGCCCTGTAGGTTGCTTGCTGTAAAGAAATAAAAAATAAAAAATAAATAAAAATGATAGAGAATTTCAAAACAGCAGAGAATTCTAAAACAGCAGTTTTCCCTAAGGAGGGATCATTACCATGCTTCATTTTCCTTTTTTTTTAAAAATATACTTTACTGGTTTTTTACAGAGAGGGAGAGGGATAGAATTAGAAACATCGATCAGCTGCCTCCTGCACGCCCCCGACTGGGAATGTGCCCGCATCCCAGGTACATGCCCTTGACCGGAATCGAACCTGGGACCTGTCAGTCCGCAGGCCGATGCTCTATCCACTGAGCCACACCGGTTAGGGCTTCCTTTTCTTTTTAAAAATATATTGTTATTGATTTCAGAGAGGAAAGGAGGGAGAAGCCTAGTCTAGTCCTCCCTTTCCAGGCGCTGCTAACGCTGTGATTCTACCTTTGCCCAGGAGGTGGCGCTCGACGCACGTCTCCGCGGATAGTGCTTGTGGGAACTACATTACCCAGAAGCCTCGGCGGTGCAGGGCCTATGAAGACCCCAGAGAAGGGTCGTCTCCGTGCGTGGGGAAGGCTTAGGGGCGGGACTTCCGGGTCCCTTCTTGGGCGGACATTTTTCTTTTGGATGGGGAGTCCACCTCCTCATTCTGTCCGACGCCGTGTTTGACCTGCAGTGAAGGGCGTGGAGGCGGTTCTTGCCCGAACGGAGCCCGGCTCCTCGCCCTCGTCTCCCGCCGATTGGCTTTTCTGGTTCTGGTTCTTCTGGGTCTAAACCTCATGTACTTTTTTTCTCAAGGTATGTTGTTTATGCCCTTTTGGGAGTGTGGGCTGAGTCACAGAGAGACAGGGTGGTGGCAGTATAGGCAAAGAACTTGGAAGGCTCCCTGCCTCCTGATTCTTTTGGATGGGGAGTCCACCTCCTCATTCTGCCGGACGCCGTGTCAGACTTGCGGTGACGGGCGCGGAGGCTGTTCTTGCCCGAACGGAGCCCGGGTCCTCGCCCTTGTCTCCCGCCGATTGGCCCCCCTGTCCCGC